GCTGTAAAAGTTCTGGTGCCATTTCTGATTGTGTTTTTAGGATCTCCGCCCAGTGTGAGTACTTTCACCTGTAATAAGATGCTAATGTAGGTTTTGTTTGACATGAGCTGCTGTGTTTATCCCATATCTCCTCCTCAAAGCAGCTGGAGAGCATTAACACATGTGTGTATGTGTGCATGTTGTTGTGGTAAGAATCTTTTTTGACAGAGAGGTTTGAATTTATAACTGGGGACCAGATTTTGATCTATATTTCTACGAGTTACCGTCTTTCATATTTGAATTTATTTCTTATTTATCCGTATCACTGTCACCTACTCCATAGGCCTGTTGTTAGGTGGTGGAAGTAACAAAAAGGGCACTGGATTGGGGGGGGAAAGGGACAAATATATCAAAATATCAAACTTTTATTATCCCTTCTTCTCCATGAAGCAAGAGTCAAAACGCATAGCTCACAAGCTACAAAGTAAAGGGTTTCTGATACTGGAGCTCTCCTGTACCTGGCCTCTAAAATGTTCAAAGTAGCAGCTAAGAAGACAGAAGAGCAGCCAGGACACATCCAGACAGGCCAATTCACAGCAGGCCCTGCGCTGGCTGTAACACTATCAGGCAATAAAGGATAAATGCACTCCAACAGACTCCTTCAAAGTAACACAGAATGCTCTGGAAAAACAACAAATATAAAGAAAATGATCCAGAACTACTCGTGCTGACAGAAACAGGAAGATGCATGCAACTGTAGAAACAATAAAATGACTGAAAACAAAATAATCAACCACAAACAGACGAAAACTAACTTCACAGAAAACAGACACGCAATAAATGCAAACTGATGTAAACCAAGGCCTTGCTTCAAAATGAGACAAAAAACACAAAAGATGAAAGCAACAAAGAAGAGACACAAAACATAATTAGCTAAATGAATTAAATAAAACGTAAGTAGACACAGAAACACTTATGTAACTTTTTCATGTATTAAACTCATTTTCTTTTCTTTTTTTAACTGTGAAGGGCTTAGCATGAAGTTTTCCGTGAAAATCCAAACAATGTGATGGTCATCGCACACTATCACAGATTCTTCATCCTGACAGCAGTCAAACTAGACTGTACTGTACACAAATGCAAACACAAAGGACTACATATTGCCACCCCAATGCACTTTATGTACATACAAAGATGTTTCTATTTGTGTATTTACTCTATATAGCAATCATTCGTAAATAGTAAGAGTTACTTGTAGAATTGTTATAGCTTCTAGTTGACTTTTTCTTACTAACCCTTGTGCTGTCATAATGTGTAAATTTGTCCAGTATAAGATTAACAAAGTCTATGACAGTCGACAGTTAGCAACACTAACTAACGCTAGCTTAGAAATTTAGTCCACTAACGTTACCAAACAACTAGCTTCAAGGAGAATACAGACTTAAACTTCTAAGGCCTGTTTTAGACTTCTGCTGAGAATCTTTGTGGAGCTTGAGGGGTAATTTAGGTAAGCTACATAAGTTAGAGATGGGGATTGTTCCTCTTCTGGGTCCCTGTCTTTGTTGTGGTCAGTTTTCTTTGGGGATAAACACATTTGTCTCTCAAGTTTTTCCAATTCTTTGTACATCCTCTTGCATCCATAGTTTCGTCAATCGCTGAATTTGCTGACTTTTCTGTGTCCTTTTTGGACTGCTATGGTTCAACTGTAGGGAAAAAGTAACGATCAATGCACATGAGGAATACTGAACAATCACAGTAGTTGCAGGATGCGTAGACCTGATGTGAAGTTATATTTCTAGGGAGGTGCTGCAGGTTATAGCACAGCTTTAACCTACATAAGTTTCAGAGGGGTTTGCGGTTATGATATAGCTTCAGATTTGTCGCTGAAGCATAGATCCCCAGTAAGCTGTGTTTCTTCTGCTAAGGTTAGCTAACACTAGTGACCCTGCTAACACAAAAAAGCTATTTACCAGCGCCTGTACAAATGTTATTACTGACACAATCAGGTCTGATTAGAAATGCTAGCTTAGCCTGTCAAATCACTTCTGCAGCTAACCCGTGTACAGTGATAATATCATGTTCAACACATGATTCATTGATTTCATGTAATTGCACAAATTAATAATGTTACCGCTAACATATGCAGTTAGCTAGCATGTATCTGACATTGGCAACTTAATAACAGTTAACTTTTTATTCCAATATTCAGTACACATGCTAGTCTCTGATGTGTTGTACAACACATGTTGTACAGCATATATGTCATCACTGTTTAGCTCATCTTCACTGTCATGGCTGAGGACGTCGTTAATAACAATGGTTTGGAAAGGTCACGTAGAGTTTTCTGAAAGAGAGAAAAAGATGCAAATATTTGCAAAGAAGTGCTAAACAACTATCACACTCACAACGACCAAAAAGAGGCAGGGACAATGACCAGTATCAGAGATGCAAACTAAATCGTAACAACCACAAACAGACACAAAATAACGACAGAAAGAAGAAGATCAAAGTGAAACTAAAGATTAAAAATCCATCGAGTTAAAAAAATGAGAACAAAATAACAACTTAACCCAGACATAATGCCTTCATGCACAAAGTCCTCACAAGGTCTGAAATAGTTCCTGGTCCCCACGTGAACAGATTCATAGGTACACCCACACACCCGCTGAGCAGCCTGTCACTCAACTCCATTCACCTTTTAGCAGCGTCTCAGCAGGGATCACATCAACACTCATTCAGCAGGCAAATCTCATCCCTCCTCAATCTTTCAGCACCAGTTAGGCTGTCTCAGCAGGGGGATGGCGGCTCAGTGTGTCCGTGTGTGTGTGTTTCTATAATCGACCCTTAATCCCCTCCCAATCCCCTTCTTCTCTGAAGGAAGAAAGGCAGGAGAAGAATGAATAACAGAAATGAGAGGTGGATGAAAACAGCTTCTGTCCTCCTGACTACAACTGCTGCTCTCAGCATTGGTAATTAAATCTGTTTTCACACATGCAAAGCAGCCACAGTGTTCGATTCAGTTACATCGGACATGGCGTAGACTTTAACCTTAAACTCGTGTGAGGACAGTGCAGGTAAAACAGCTTTTGTCAGACACTTTTTAGGGAATGGTTCTGCACTTTTAACGGGCAGATCTACAGTGTTGTGCAGGGCGTCGCCAAATTAAAGCCATTGTTATCTCTTAGAAACAGTTATTAATGCTTTTGTCACATCTTTATGAGTTGGACAAATTCCTCCTCGATTGTAAATGCTTTAAAAACCTCAGCTGCTAGAGAAAAGCTAATTTTCTCAACTGTGAAATGCAAACCTCATTTGATTTGAAGCCATTCATGGATCAGTGACACAAAATGAACTCCATAGTTTGACTCACTGAGGTCCTTTCGTCTAATAACCAAAGGTGACCCAGCTTTAAAGGCTGCTGCTCTGGAGCGCCATGTAACTATTTTTTTCCCCTCCAGTGACTTTCTGTGGCTGTGAGCAAAAACAAAAGTTAGTATATGACTCTGCCTGAACTATATAGAGACTAATCAGGCTTAGGTGTGTAATCACTCCCAGAAAATCTACGTTGAGCCAAAAGAAAGTCCTGAAATTGTTCCAGAACTTTTATACAGTGTGTTGAGTACACCGTCATTGTTTCCTCACTGCTCATCTAATGAATCCTCTATTTTAATTATGTTTCAGTTTGCAGACGTTTATATTTATTGGTTGTATTTTTTTATATTTTATATTTTCTTTGCACCAATTAGAAATCTGGCACCTATCTATACAGCATGTTAGCTTAATGCAGCTGGGGGTGATAACTTTTACGATGCCTCTCAGCAAGTTTAATTGGTGTAGGTGTCCAGAGTTGTAGCTGTATGGCCATGCAAAGAGTGGGGGGATTGTGGGAATTCAACTCATGCCAAGTCTTTTTTTTGTTTGTTTGTTTGTTTGTTTATTTGTTTGTTTGTTTTTTTTGGGGGGGGGTTGCCAGTGTCTCACAGGAGGATTTTTTTTAAAGTATAATGAATTTGGGTCATAATTAGTTATTTTAAAAATGCTAAATATGTCAGTTATGGCTCAAAATATATTAGCAAGATATGCTAATATATGGATGCATCTAAGCTGAAATCCCAAATCTGTTACCAGGCAGAAGAACAGCTGAAATATCAGCAGGGGGAAAAGGGAAGAATAGAATCATCCATCCATAGAATAGAATAATAGAAATAAAAAGAAGAAGAGAGAAAGGAGTACCTGGTACCAGGCTACGGTAAATGCCTACAAAAACAATGCCATGGACCATCAAGTCTGATGAAAAGCCACAGCAGGTATAAATGACGTCACAGGACTATTGGCTGTGATGCTATAATGACACACGCACATTAGGTGGTCCTCAATTGTTATGGAAAATGACTAAAACCGAGTTGAGTTAAATTACCAGTTCAGCTGGTAAAGGGCTAGTCCACAGGTCCAGTTCAGTCAGTGAGTCCAATTAGTGAAGTTGAACTAGCTGCTACAACCACCTAGTCGCCATTCACCTGTCAGTCAATCAAAAGGCCACACCCCTAACAGTTGTTATGATGGGTTAAGTTAGCAACAGAGATCAAAACTGTTTCTGCAGGAGTCTGTCAACATGTTCATTTAAAGTTCAACACTTCTGTCTGTGGGAGTCCCAGCCTCCAGTGGTCGTTAGAGGAACTGCAGTTTATGTCCTTTTTTTGGCATTTCCAGCTCCAGAGGTGATGATGTGTTTAAAGGCCCCACAGGGATTTTTGGTGGAAGCTCGGAAGTAAACAAGGAGTTTAAAGTGACACCAAGAATAATGACTTTATTTACTAATCAGTTTTCTGAGTTTAACAAACAGGAGCTGAGCCTGCAGCTCACACACACACACAAACACACACAGCTCTGCAGACACACTGCCAGCTCACTCTGCCTCCCTGTGTGTGTGTGTGTGTGTGTGTGTGTGTGTGTGTGTGTGTGTGTGTGTGTGTGTGTGTGTGTGTGTTAGGCCATTTGGTGACTTTGGAAAAGCTGCGACCTCAGCACAGTTCCCAGGAAGGTGGTTGTGATGAATGTGTGAGAGCCACATTTTGCTGTGCTAGGAAGTTGTGACCTCTCTGCATTTTGGCTGGTGTGGAGGTGGTGAACGCGGTGGAGGACGACGCTCTGTGGTTTGAGCTCTGTTCTGTTTTTGTTTTTCTGCCGTGGCCTCATACCTGACTCACAAACCTATTGCAGATCCCTGAGAGCTCCCCCCTCTCTGCCCCCCTCTCCCAGTCCCACACCCGCTTTTCTCTTGCAGCCTCTCTTTGCGGTCATGACGTCACGCCCCCTCCCATCCACAGTGAGAAGGAAAACTCGTGGCTGTGCGCAGAGGAGGCCACAGAGAAGCAGATCAGTGATCACAGACCGGTTTACTTCAGCTTCACCATGCTGGACACGCTCACCTTCCTCCTGGAGAAGCTCTTCCTCCTCGCGCACATCAAGCTCTCCAGCCTGCTGCCTCCTCTGGGCGTAGAGTGCGCAGAACCGCCGCCCACCAGCAAGCGCTGTGACCGGGAAGACTCACCGCCGCTGCCCGCCTCAGCCTCTCACCGGTTCCAGCGGGGAGACCTGCTGGAGGTTCCCCGGACTCTCTTCACTCACTTTGGCATCTACCTGGGCGACGACCGGGTGGCGCATCTCATCCCGGACATCCTCCCGGCGCTGACCGCCGACATCCGCCAGATCGAGGAGATGGTGACCAACACACGGCTGCTGGTAGGAGTCATCGCGAAGCGCGCCAGCGTGCGCGTGGACTCTGTGGAGGACTTCGCGTACGGCGCCGGGATCCTGCTGAACGCCATGGACCGCTCGGTGCGCAAGAGCCCTCTGGCCGGGGAGGAGGTGGCGCTGCGGGCGGAGCGGCTGGTGGGCACCGTCGCCTACAGCCTGCTATGGAACAACTGCGAGCACTTCGTCACCTACTGCCGCTACGGCACCGCGCAGAGCCTGCAGACCGACAAGGTGAGCCCGAGCCCAAGACCGACCCGGCGTGTTTGCTGGGTGTTTTATGTCTAATATCTCTCCTGATGGTAAACACATCGCAGTGAACAGGATCGATGAAGGAGAACCTGCTCTGTTTATGTGTCGTTGTATTTCCATTATAAAAAAAGTTCTGTAAACAAACTTTTAGTTATATTTGCCACAAGCTTTATTGCCCTCTTTGCCAGATCGATCTTGAAAAACACATTTTTGGTGTCACTGACACTCAGAGTGACTCCGTATCATTTATGACAGATATGTGACACATTTTAACAAATTATAGGCCAACAAGTCATTTATGACAGTTTAAGTGTAATTTTTGGCGCAACATCAGAGCGACAGTGACAGGGCTGCACTGATGCTCCACAGTGATACACTTTATTCACGGTAAGCAGAAACAGTTTGTTCTGCTGTAAATCTTTATTTATTCTCAACCTTTTGAATGTGGAGTCGAGATGCATCCAAGCGTGTTTAAAAGGCTGTAAACAAAGCCCTGTTTCCCTTTTCTTTTACAGCAGTCATTCGATTTTGAATGTGTAGATGGTTTGTGAACTTGAGGCTTGATTTTTAAATGTGGGGCCACAAAAAATCTGAATATGAACTCTTTATCTGTTACCTAGTTTGGTGCAGATGGCCGTGGGTGCTGGCAGAAAACGTGACACTGACTCAGACCTCAGGTGACATTCACAGCTCAAACTCTGGTGTCATTACACATTTTTAACGAGGAAATAGAACAAGATTCATGCCCTCATCCTTTTCGGTTTTTACATCTTTTCAAAGCCATCCACTTTGCCAGATCGGACCCTTTGCCGGGCTGATTCTAGACCACGAACCGCATGTTTGACATCTGTTTAGACTGATGAAGTAATATTACAACAGTTTTCACAGTGAAACACACTAAAAGTAAATAGTCACCTACATGACATTATTATTATTGATTGAATGCAATGACGTTACTTTAACATAGTAGCTTTTATCACTTAAGTGGCCTAAAAATAAAAAGAATCACAGCAAACAGGATCACAGCATCGTTTGCAGCTTAGGTTCACAAACACAGTCAGTAGTTAGTTATTATTATTGCTGTAGAACCAGCTCACTGTGTTCTGCCATGCTCTAGTCTGGCTGCAACTTATTTCCTGTCCACGTATCTTTAAAAGTCCTACAGAGAGTAGAAGAGAGGAGTGGAAAGAAGCCATAATAGCAATAATCACGGCTAAAAACACATCCAAAATGAATGTGTGTGTGTGTGGGGGGGTCTCTTTGTGCAGCTAACTCTGTTCACCGCAGTGATTTATTCAAGAGCTTTAAGTCTTCATTTTCAGACATTAAAAACAACATTTACAGCTCTCTGCCTTTGTTTCCAAGTGAATGTGAAGCTGCTTCTGAGCAGAAAAGGAAAATCTGGGTCACTCCTTGGAAAAGTCCTGAGAACAAGAGCTGCATTCAGACCAGAGTCGCCTGCCAGAAACCAAAAGGCAGCAGCAGAATCTGGGCTGGTACGCTCTGATGATGATAATGATGATGATGCAGCAGAGGCTCCTGCACATCAGAAAGCTGACCTCTCTGTGGTTAATTCAGATTGTGGTTAGGCATCACAGAAGCAACTCTGTTTGAGTTCAGATGGGTGCAGTCCTTTTGGGTTTGTCCAAATATCTGAAAAACTAGAGACACTCCAGTCAGCCTCAGCTTTACTTTATGCCCCGTGCTAATACAAAATGCTAATGAGAAAAATTCAAATTCAAATTTTATTTGTCACGTACACAGTCATACACAGTACGATATGTAGTGAAATGCTTGGACAACTGCTCGTGACCTAAAGAAAACAAAAAAGGAAAAGGCTATGAATAAGATAGGAAATAAATATGAAAAATTAAAAAGGGTAAATTTAACTAGGAAGGAATAAGATAAAATATATAAATTAAAGTTGAAAATAAAATAACTGTACAACAAAATACACAATATAGAACTATATAAGAATGTATGAAGAAATATAAATAAATATATACACAATAACAGCAGCTGTACAAGTATTAACTGGAAATGAAGAATATAGTGACCAGTGTTGTGCAATCCACATTATGTCTTGTGCAGTGCAAATATGCTTAAAGTGATTTAAGTGATGAAGTGAAAACAATGTCCAGAATGTCCAGTGTGTGTGTAAGAACTATATGTGTGGGTCAGTACTGTGTGGTGGTGTGATTGAGAGACCGTATCACAGATTAAAACAAATTATTAGCATGTTACACCATTTTCACCAGTTCCTCTGAACATCAAAGAAAAGAAATGTTCATTACATTTGACATAAAAGCACCAAAAAGTAAAAACAAACAAACAAAAAAACTGACAGGTAATTAATATATTGAGTATTTAACACTCAGGAATATCATTTATTATTATTTGAGCACCAAAGCTATTTTTAGCTAACTTGCTAGCTAGGATAACTCAGCAAACATTGTATTTTTCTGTTGTTTTTCTTTGTTCATGTTTAAGCAGTGCCTCAGTCACACATAGAGACCGGTCAGCGACCGCCTGGGAACCTCCAGTCTATTCAGTTTGATTCATTTTATTCATTTCATTTTCATTTCATTCATTTTATCTATATAGTCTCCTAAAGGGGTATATTCTAAGGTAAAGACCCCACAATGAAACGGTCCCTAGGTTGCTGAAGGGCGCTGCACCAACAACTTCCTTGTGATTGCATTGGTCATTAGAGGAATGTTGCCATGGTTGCCAATAGTTTGCCTTAAATACAGGTTTTACACTCTAAGCTTTAGTGAATCTTTAAAAAAGTGTGACTCAAAAAACTAAACACAGTAAAAGTTGTGGCTTACTGCAAAAACCCACACACATGTAAAAAAAAAAAAAAAAGAAGGCAGCTCTTACTTTGAAGGTCAATGATTCCTGATTTACAGTTTGCGTTATCAGTGTCACTACTGCTTGGCGAGTCATAACAACTCAGCATCTTTCACACAAACTGCAGGTGACCGCAGCTATCAGTTAGCGACCAAGTCAATCGCGAGGATGTTTTTAGTGCACCACCAAATACATCTTTACGACCACTTTCACGCCACCAACCCCGTTAAAGTATATACACAGTTTTGGGACACAGCTACAGTTTCCCTAGCGACCAGTGGTTGGCAAGCAGTCTGTAGGCCTGTGGAACTGGGGCTTAATGCACTGGTCCTACACGTAAAAAAAACAAAAGACAAACCAGTTAACGTCACAGGGGGCGCTGTCTTGCACAATATGCAGAAGAGAGCCCTCTAGTGGTAGAAAGCTGTAGATGCTCCTCAGCTAAAAAACAAAACAAAGGAAAAATACATTTAAAAGTTTATTTTCTTGTACATTAAAAATATATATGTATATATGCATTTCTGAACACACATACAAAATGAAAATTCTTGCTGTATATAAAATATTATCCTATCTTATAATGAAACTGAAGCTAAACGCAGCAGGAATAAAGAACAGACTGTGGTTTCTCTCTTGCAGCAGAGAAACTTTCCCCTGATCAAGTTTCACTTCCTGCAATCTCTAACCTAAACATCAGACCTGTCTGCAGCCTCAGAGTCTGCCTCTGCAGGTTCATTTCAAGGGGGGCTAGGGGCCAACAGAAGCTCTTAAAAGGACCTCTGAGGGCCCCTCACAAAAATAAACATCAGGTCAATTATGGTCGTTATTCTGCTACAAGAGGTCTGCTTAGAGAAAGTCTTAAGACTGGTGCTTTGCTTCATTTGTATCAACCACAAAAAGCTCTTTGATTTGAGCTTTTTGGGTAGTCTTTGGGGGGAGGGAATAGAGTGAACTTATCCTGTGTCTAATAGTTTTATCTGTGTATTGAGCGAATCACTGGGTGTAAATTGAAAAAAAAAAAAGGCCTATAGACCAACCAACCTACCTGCTTTACACCTTGGAAAACTGCTGAGTGTTTTGGGGAGTTGCCCTGGTTTTAAAAACTGTGTCACGTTGATTTGATTAGGGTTTTTTCCTCTCTGTTCAATGAGAAATAAAATTAATCCTGAGTTTATATTTGTCTTGTCACATTTAAAGCTCTTCAGCTGCTCTATTAATATGATCAGAATTAATTTTGTGCCCGTTTTCGTCCTCTCTCTCCAGTTTTGCGAGTGGCTGAAGTTGCTGATCCGGGACCAGCGAAACGCCATGCTGACAGCACTGCTAGGGCTCCTTTCCATGGCTTATATGGGAATATCCGTCAGCACCGCCCTGCCAGCCTTCCTCATCCCCTTCACCCTGTGGATGGCGAGCTAAGAGCCGCCTGGAGCTGCACTTACTGTCAGCGTTCAAGCCTTACCGCTAGTTCAGAGCTCACTGAGCCGCCATATTGGAAGACCAACAGTGTGAACGCAGTCTTCTGCAAACATTTTAACTTTTCAAAAAACTTTTTAAAATTGTACTTCACCATCTGGTAGCTTTTTTCTGCTGCACAGAAAGTGATTTGCTTTTTATTTTTTCAGTTTTTTGTTTGTTTTTTTTAAAAAGAGGAAAAACTGGAGATGGGTAGTTAACAGAATTAGCAACAGGCTCAAAATTCACCAAAACTCAAAAATGTTGTGTCTCCAACGCAATTTGGTTGACTAATGATGTCTCAAGGTGAAAGGTAGTGCTGGTAAAGGAACCAAAGATGACTTATTTATTTTTCTATTGAGACCATGCATACGGTTCTGAAGGGTTTATTGACTTGAAAAAAAAATTAACTCTTTCCATCTTGACCGTCTTAAAAGTCAGTCGTTTAATTTCCCTCCGTTTGAATGTTCCTTTTAGTACTGTAACCAGGTGAAGCTCGTGTGTAAATGTCTGCAGATAGTCTACATGACCTGATTGTTTCCTAACAGTCACAAGCTTTTGTACAGAATTATTTTTTACCTTTGTAACAATGTGCTGTGTTTTATATGTAAATAAAGGAAATGGAAGCAAACATATCTTGTATTCCTTATCAGCCACATAACCACATCGTCAATTCCACCCTTGTTGGAGTCTCCAAGGTTCTTCCGTCAGTCAAGGATGTGAAAGTTAGAAAAACTACTTTCCTTTTGTTAGAATTTTTAAGTCTTGTAAATGATTTTTAGCAATGAAATGCAAACACCTGACAAAGTGAAGAGATTCAACACTGAAACATTTGGGGCTGCATTTCAGTGCCGTTGGAGATTTTGATGAAATGATGAAAAGTAGCGTCCAACATAAAAATGTATGATCCACCGTGCAGAGTCCAGACTTCAACATTACTGAAGCAGTGTGGGATCATTTTGACAGAACAGAACGAAAGGCAGGCAGCATCCAAAGAAGAGTTTTGGATGTCCTTCAGGAAGTCTGGAGAACTATTCCTCAAGACTACTTATAAAAATTACAACAGAACATTCAGGCTGTTTTAAGAACAAAGGTGGTCACACCAAATATCCACTTTCAAGCTTCGTCCCAAGTGTTTTGCTTCATACAACGCTTCTCATGTTTCTCATTATAAACGTAGTCTTCTGTGGATTGGTACACTGTTACCTCCATCTGTTGGTGACATGTGGGAACTACAACTACATGGAAACAATGGCTGCAGCTTATATTATCTGACAGATGGTAAGATTATGTTTCAAATCAAGTTTGAGATTCTGCATCAAGATTTTAAAGTTTATTTGTGACCAAGGCACGGATCTTTGATCACATTTAAGACTCTAAAATGTTGTTAGAGATCAACGTCAACAATGTAAAATGTGACTGTAGAGTGTGCTGCTCAAAAAAGGCTCTTAAAGGTTCCCAGCAGTTTCTAATCCCCTCTCTGCCCCACCCACCAGCAGAACAAAACCACACCGCAGACAGCTCCACTTTCCCCTTGGTCTCCTCTCGACATGTTTCCCCTGCCGCTCCTCGGTCTGCTTTTTATCTCAGCCTCGGGATTCGAGCCACCGGCGGAGAAGAAGAAAGAGAAGGAGAGTGAAGAGGAGCCGGAGTGTCATGGAGGGGAGAAGAGGAAGAGTAAATATGACACAATATTCACCAGAGGAGACCTGCTGGAGGTTCCCAGGACTCTCTTCATACACTTTGGGATTTACCTGGGTGGAGACAGGTAAGGGTGACAGACAGCTAGAATATCAGTGAAACAGTTCAAAGGTTTAAATTCTGTTTCAAAAAAGTGAAAATGTTTTTCCTTCCTTTCTCACCAATGACTCACACTTTCCATTTATTTTTCATGACTCCTTTCCTTTCCACAGAGTAGCTCATTTCATCCCAGACATCATGCCCGTCATCTCCAGTGACCAGTATCGGATCAGTCAGATGGTCTCCAACACCAGACTCCTACTTGGAGTACTGGCTAAGGTACACCAAGTGGTGCAGCAGCTGAGCATCCGGTTTAATGTGCAACAGCTTATTCTCTCATATCAAATGACAGCAGGTAAAGAATCAGTCGTAAATGAGATCTAACCCATGTCTTGTGTCTTCAGTGTGGCAGTGTGAGGGTGGACTCAGTAGAGGACTTTGCCTATGGAGCAGACATACGGGTCAACCCTATGGATAAGGTGAAATCAGGACAAAACAAACATTTTAACTTCTTTAACATCTTATAATTAAAGTACTTAACACATTATTCTATTATTGATAAATCCTTAGTCTAAATAGTAATACACCCAAAGGCACTTTATTGGTATGAGATGTCATAAAGTTACATTTAAGGATTCTTTATACTATTTTTATGCTAGACTGTGGGCTTAATATACATGAACCCACTCTTGGGTTAATCCAAATTAGTGAGTAAAAAGAGAAACACTTGCCTGTGAAGCAACACCTTTTATAGCTTTAAACTGAGAAAAAGAGAGAACACGATGTTGTTTTTCAAATGTTTCTGGCCAACAAACTGGGAACTAACCTTCTAAATAAATGTTAATCTGAAGGGATTATAGATGTGGCAACAGCTGCAGGCAACGTAGGGTTATGGTAAATACTCTTGTACTTATATAGCGCTTTTCACCAATATTAAGTGCCTTTTTACTACAATTTGAGTGCTCTTTTTTTTTTTTACTACAATTGTGAATATAAAGCACTTTCCTACTGTAATCGGGCACTTAATCACTGTTCTGCTACTACTGAGACCTCAAAGTGCTTTTCTACTACAAGTCCTATTCACACAGTCATACAAACACTTTTTTCCTGTGCTTGAGCATTTTATCAAACATTCAAACACACACCCACACAGAGGAATCCTGGGGTTTGGGATCTTGCCCAAACATACTTCAACATGCGGGCTGCTCTCTTCTGTGTGCAGGTATTAAGCCACGCAGTGCTGAAAGGGGAGGATGTGGCCAGAAGGGCAGAGAAGCTAGAGGGAGACGTGCCCTACAGCCTGCTGTGGTACAACTGTGAACACTTTGTCATGTACTGCAGATACGGCACTGTCATGAGCTTCCAGACATTTCAGGTGATCTTAGAGATGATAATGTGTTTTTTTCTTATTAATAGATGCATCTTAAAGTCACGTTTGGAAAATCAATCACACAACTGCACGACTGTTGTCAGTTTGTCTTTTATAGCTGATAGAAAGCTCAACTTATTATTGTAGTTCTCCTCAGTTTATGTGGAAGCACTGAAAGCAGCTGTAATGGCACCACTTGTTCGTCTCTGGGTGGGTAAATGCCACAAAATTCAACATTCAAGGTCCAACTCCTCAGTGGGCAGCATGGATTCAAATCCTGCTCCTGACTTTGGAAATGAAAAATGGAATTAAGAAGTTAAGCTGCTGAAATAGCAGTTGAAGCGCTTGTGATGTTTAAACTATGAAGGTAACTGACTGTCACAGTAAAGCAAGAACAGGACAGGAACCTCCTTGCGATCAGGGGAAATTAGCAATTTCATTGAATTTCTTCATATTTAGCAACCAATCTGGTCAACCAGCTGTTCACCAACATCTTTAATCTCTTGGGGGTCTTTTTTTAATGGTAAGGCAATTGCACAGGAGACCTGTAATCCACAATTTGGATTACCTGCATCCTCCTGGTTGGCAAATAATTGCACTTTATAAAAGCAGACAGATTGCTAACCTGCTGCTTTCAATCGGTTTCAGTCTGCAATACCAGTGTGTGACATTCTTCACTAGGGGGCGCCACTCGACAGCATATCAGTGAATGCATTTAAACAACCATCGGACAATCTATCCTCATGTAAAAACTTCTCACCCAAACTCTGACCTTAAGGCTCAGAATCTCTGAAAGAACAGCAAACAGCTCCTCCAACAGTGAACACACATCAGATCATGCTTCTTTCCTACACTTCAGCAGCGAAGCAGTTGTTTCCTGCTGCAGATTAACACTGACCACAGATCAGACCAGCCTGCCTCTTTAATAGGGTTAAGACTCCCTGTTGCAGCAACAGGCCCTGAGTGAAAGCTCTTTTGTTGTTGCTGCATTGTTCCGAGGCCGTCTGATTGCTGCATGCGATTAAAAGCATGTACCATAATCGTGAAAGAAGGCAGTGCATGAACTGGAGGAAGATGAGTGTGGCAATTAAAGTGAGATTTAAAAAGAGCAAAGCGGCTTAAAGAACGTCATTTGGATAGAAGACTTGTAAAAAAGCGAAAGTTGTCATTAAAGACAGCTGCGTGGTAGCATGGCAGTACCTTTAAGATTAGACAATTTATCGGTCAGCTGATAAACAAGCACAAAAGCATGTGTTGTGGATGGTTTTCACTTGTTTCAGAAGTGACTGTCTACAAATGTAAAGCCATGAAAACCAGATTACTGTGCAACTACTCCATCTAGTGGAAACACTGACTCTATTATCTGAATGCTGCAGCAGTAATGGAGACTCATCAGACCAAGAAGCATTTTTCAAATCTTCTGTTGTCCAATGTTCTGTTTTTGGTGATCCCGTGCAAACTGTATGCTTAGTTTTCTGTTCTTAGCTGACAGGAGTGACACCCCTGGTGCAGTTATCTGCTGCTGTTGGTCTTTTACATATCTTGGTTGCATCGAGTGGTTATTTGAGTTACTGTTGCTTTGCTATCAGTCAAACCAGACACTCTCTGACCTCTGACCTCTGACATCAACCAGGCATTTTCACACGGAGTGAAAAAAAAAAGTCTCTGCAAACCTCAGAAATGGTTGTGTGAGAAAATCCCAGCAGATCACCCGTTTCTGAAACACCCAACAAATCATCTTAAATCATCTTTCTTCCCCATTCGGATGCTCAGCAGGTTGATCATGGCCCTAAATGCACTCAACTGCTGCCATGTGATTGGCTGATTAGATATTTTTGTCAAAGTGCAGTTAAACAGGTGTGTCTAAAGTTAGGCTTGTGACTGTGACACTGGGAAAATTTCAGGTACCACTCTAATAAACTAAAAACTTTTCCTTTCAATTCATTTCAACACAAAACTGAATATTTGCCCCCTATACACGTCAGTGTATTTCTTTCCTCACACTATAAGACGAGCAGATTAAGGGTTTTAAATTACCATCACTATAATAGATGGTTTTACATTATTGCCTTTCTTCTTCTTCTCCTCATCAGTTCTGTAAGACGATGAGGAAGCTGCTACTGAGTCAGCGTGTTGCCAAGTCAGCGGCAGTGCTGGCACTGTGTTGGGTGCTTTACCTGCAGGCTGTGAGTCTGTGCTCTGTGCTACTGGCTGTTATACTGCCTTTCCTCATCTGGATGGCCTCATGAAGAAAAACCAGCCATTCAAACTTGCAGAAATTTGCCCCCTGAACAACAAAACATTCAAAAAGGAAAATTCAATAAAATATTTAAAGTTCAATAAGTGTTGAGTCCTGGCATTTTACAGACTTTTAGTCTGAGTCATCACCAAGAGAAAAAATGTTTGGAGTCGAGGAGAACAAGAAAAATAAGTTTGCCTTATTTCTTGTATGTTCAAGTCATATATTAAATAAAATTTTATTTTACTTCAGCAGACTTGAGTCTCTGTCTTTTCCAGGTTACTTCAAGTGTAGATCTGCTTTAATCACAATTTTAGTTCAAGAAGCAAATTTATTAACATAACATGATTAGTATATGGTTTTGTGTCATTTTATTATTTTTTGTTTTTATTAGATAATTATTCCAAAATTATTTTACACATGCTTCGTTTACATTTTGTAATTTTGTTATTTTTTTATTGCTCCTATTTCGTTTCATTGGTGTTATAGTTTATTTGTTTTTTTAATGTAAATAAAATCACATTTAGATTTTTGGAGGGGTATATTAATTAAATTATTATTATTATTATTATTATTATTATTATTATTATTATTATTATTATTATTATTCCTATTATAAAACAATTTCCAAAGTTCAGGGTCATACTTTAAGATTTTATTTTGTTTTATTAGATTTTTTTTTTTTTTTATCTTTTTTCTGTTGCCCCGCCTATACAGAGGAACGTTGTGATTGGCTGACGGGAGGCCAGCTTCCTGTCACTCACAGGTGTCAGGTTGGCCCGGCCTCTTTTCTCGGTGAGTCGTTGATGAAGAGCGCAGCATCGTCCGGGAACGGGAGGGTTTTATTTCATTGTGACAGGAAATGGAGCTGGAAAGAAGCGGTAAGATTTTATCCGACCCAAAATAAAATTTCATTATCATGGTTTAATGGTTTACAAACGGTCGGACGAAGAGAAAGTTTAAGCTATATCACGGAACTGCTAGCATGCTGAGTTAGCAGCGGATCGTTGGCTGCTTTTAAGCTTTAAACGAATAAAGCTAGCTACACACGAGCAGTTTAGAAAGAAACTATTAGTGTTAAATGTTGCTATTTGGCGTTAAGATGTGAACTGAACGCTTGAAACTGTGAAAAATAAACTACAAAAGCAAATGAAAGCTAGTTTAGCTTTTATAGCGGCTTTAGTATATACGAAAACGGTGACTTAGAAAACAGGCAAAAAGCACAGATAATATTTTCAAGAGAGTAAAATAAATTATAAGACACTAAAAGTTCACATCACCCTCGGGTTCAATTTATGAGTGTTGCAGTCTCACCTGAGCTGGCAGGTAACCTAGCTGTTTGTCGGACAGAGGATCCCATGGAGGGAGACGTGGACACGGACTCGGGTGAAGAGGCGAGGCCGCTGGTGATGGAGGAGGACTTAAAGGTGATCTGTGCTAAAGAGATGGCTCTGCTGTCCCTGATCGATAAGACGGGCTACAACATGGTGCAGGAGAACGGGCAGAGGAAGTACGGAGGTCCACCTCCAGGTATGTCAACCTGCGACACAAGTAAAAGAGACAAACAACAGCCCCGGGGTAGCTGTGGAGTCCCGTTTGTGTCAAAACAGATGTGTATGAGAGAGGCAGGTACCAAGGTGGCTCCCTGGTTAGATGTGAAGCAGAGATCAGAGGGGAAACTGTGGGCTTTGTTTTCATTAAAACCATTTTATTTTTATTAAGGCATACATTTGAATTCACTAATGTAAATTATTTGCACTTTTTTAAATAACCGATGATATTCTTCTTTATTGCAGTTCATTGTATTTGTGTAAAACTGAAATATTTTGCATCCTGTTCTTTTGATTTGGTGATTTTATTTTTAGTATACAGTACTCGTTTAACTAACAGATAAATACGTCTTTTATATATTCATTTTGCTTTAATGAGTTTCAAATAATTTATTTTTGCACATTTAATTTTCTTTACTTTTACAAATGTGAATTATTGTTTTCATTAAAAAGTCAATTCAATAATAAATTATTATTTATATATTCTAAATTTTATTATTATTATTATTATTTAAGTTTTAATTTTAGTATTTAAATTTATTTCAATTATTAAATTTAAAAAAATTATGATTTTGTTACATAAACTTTTTTTTTTGTAAGTCATGCATTAATTTTTTTAATTTATACTGCTTTCAGTTTATCAGATTTGCTGTAATCTGCACAGCTGTCAAAAATACCTGCAGCAGCATCTGCTCCACTCCACATATTTTAATAATAATAATAATTTTTTTTACTTAAGCTCCTAATTAAAAAGTCGAAAATCCCAGTAGAAATCCCAGAAATCCCTTCTAATCTGATCAAATAAGTGATAGAAGTGTTTATGAATACGAAGGCTTTGATCAGCTGACTCTGTGTCTGTGGTACAGGCTGGGAGGGTCCCGCCCCCCCGCGGGGTTGTGAGGTGTTCGTTGGAAAGATTCCCAGAGACATGTACGAGGATGACCTGGTGCCGCTGTTCGAGAAAGCCGGGAGGATCTACGAGTTCAGACTGATGATGGAGTTCAGCGGAGAGAACCGCGGCTACGCCTTCGTCATGTACACCGACAGGTCGCTCGTCTTCCTCAGTTTTCTTTGACTCTTGCGTTTGTTTTTCAGGTGTTTATATGTGTAGGACACAGGCATTTTGAGTCACGTCACACTGAGTATATGTTCATTTATTTTTTCTTATTGGTAAAAGTAGTTAAGCAGTCCAGTGAAGTGAAACCTGTGCAAAGAGCTTAAAAACGAGTGTTTCTGTGCTCCAGAGAAGCAGCGCAGAGAGCCATCCAGATGCTGGACAACTACGAGGTGCGCCCTGGGAAGTTCATCGGCGTGTGCGTGAGTCTGGACAACTGCCGCCTCTTCATCGGCTCCATCCCCAAAGACAAGAGGAAGGACGAGATCATCGAGGAGATGAGGAAGGTAAAACAGACTCACTCACTGACCCACAGTTCCTGGTGTGATACCAGCATCTTTGTGTCCAAGCTTATTCCTCATCACTGCTAATGGAAATGGAGGAGGGTCAGACCGCTGTAAGAGGAAGAAGATGCTCTAAGTTAAAGTCTTACAGGTAGCAGATGGATCATTTCAGATTCAGTCTGGCCTGCTCTGCAGCTTTAATGTGTCCTCACTGTGGAAGCTTTGCTTCTTTGCAGAGTTTCGCGGCCACCTCTCAGTTTGAGACTCAGCTGTCCGCTCTCTGCACAGCTGCTGTTTAATTCAGCAGTGATTGATCTGCTGCTTGGCAGCTTCCTCCACCTCCTCCTCCTCTCCGTCTTTGATGGAAAACCTGAAAAAATAGCTGAAAATATTCAGTAGAAAGATGGGTCCCCTACAGATATTTGTTTATAAACGTCATGTTAAAGATGGTAAAAATGGCCTCAGCGGGAAAGAGAGCAGAGCAGCCCACTGTGTGTTACGTGTGTTAGTTTGACACTGTGGCTTTTTGATGGGAGTCACATCTGTGCAGGACGCCTCCTGTTCTACTTTTATGGAGCTGGTTTGTGAATTTTATGATGATAAAACACAATATATATATTGTTATTTCAAAAGGCTTTCTAACAGGACAAGTTAAGGCACTTTAAAATCAGATGATTCCTTTCACTCTCCCTGTCGTACTGTTTGCTCTCTTCTCTGAAGCAGTGTGTGTCTCTCAGATCTCAGTTTCTGCTCCTCCCCCTCTGCGTCTATGTGTCCAGGTGACGGACGGCGTGGTGGATGCGATCGTGTACCCGAGCACCACAGACAAGAACAGAAATCGAGGTTTCGCCTTTGTGGAGTACGAGTCCCACAAAGCTGCAGCGATGGCTCGCAGGAAGCTCATTCCAGGTAGCCTTCCTCCTCGTCCTCCTCCTCCACGTGTTTCCTTCCTAACCTTTGAAGACATCTGTGTGTCCACTGTTTGTTTTCACTTTGAGCTGACTCAGTTCCTCTCAGCGTCCAGCAGAGGGCAGCACAGACTGACTTCTGGGTCCGAGGGTTTAAAGAGGAAAGGCAGCAGCTTCCAAAGCTCTGATCGTTTAAGCAGCAGAAGATGAGTTCACTGATGTAGAATCCACAGGAGTGCTCGAGTCCTTTAAGCACCAAAGTCACAAAAACAGAGCAATGAAGGAAACTGGAGCTCCAGCCGCTCTGAGTGCTGCGATGATGTAAGAGAGAAAACAACCCAACCCGGCATGTTTGCTTTTTGTAACGGCAGAAGAAACATTCAGAACTCCACATGGGTTTGAACCCACAACCTTTTTGCTGTGATACAAGAGTACTGCAGAAACAAACTGCTGTAATGAATCTGAAGCAGGACAGACGGTGTGTCTTGCATTGATGAGTTCGGTCTGCAAAGACAAGGGGAGTGGCCAAGATTATTTATCTGTCACATACAAGTGCAACATGCAGTGGAATGTATCCTGACACACGATACATTAAGTGGATATATACAGAAGGACACTATGTGCAGTAAGTAGCATTACATGCAGAAAGTAAGTGAATTATGTACGTTAAGTGGATTAAATAAGACAGTCTGGAAATTTGAAACTGAAAATCTGAGAAAATACACATTGTGCAGATAATAGCACGCGTGCAGTTTCTGCATCCCACTGACCATTGAACCAAACACTGTAGGTGCCCAGAGGTGTAACCCAGCTGTGTGCAGAGGGGATGAGGTGTTATTGAAGGCTCCATGTGGCTGCTTTGAGGCACTGTGTTCACCTCTGCCTCTTTTTTTTTTCTTTTGTCTTTATTTTTCAGTTTTACTCATATTTGAAGCTCAAACTTTGGAAAAAATCACGTTCAGTGGCTCTAACAGTGCTAATCATGTTGGATAACTGAGCCGTGAGTATGAGAACACCCCTGCAGTGTTCCCCCCTTTGCCTCCTTTCCCCTCCCGATGAGTTTGCGCCGCTGTCCGGAGGTTCAGCTAGCTGTTTCCATTAAGCTATCGGTTCCCTCCTGTCTCAGCCCCTGGGCTGCATTGGACATTGATCCTTCAGTCAA